TTCCAATCAAACACTGTTTAAAAACATGCATATATTATAGGGATGTGTACGTAAAAATAAAGACATTACTGAAAACAGCACACAAAATGCATTCTATATGGGGAAATTGATTGAAAAATATCTGCACATTAGTTAAAACCCCATATAAAATGTGTTTATTAGAAGAAATTCACACAATAAAATGCTGGCGAATTTTCAGGTATTTTTAAAAAATGTAAATTGCTGCAAAATCTGGAGAACTGGATTTATGGTGGCAAAAGGGAGAAACTTGGAGAACTTAAATAGACAATTCCTTCTTTCCTTACTCTGAAGTAAGTCCCATTGTAGTCAGTGGGACTTACTCCCAGGTCAGTGTGTAAAGGACTGGAGTCTTAATTACACACTGCCTTTTGTGTTGGGAATGTGAAGGTTTATCAAAATGCCAAGTGAAAAACCTGACATCAGTGTTCCCACTTTTGGTGAGGACTGAAGGTCAGGTATCATTGCATTGTCTCAGTTTCTCATTGGTCTAAAACAGTGCAGCACAAGTATGGTTGGTGGGCAAAGCGGAAATGGCATTGGACAGCAGCCACCGGTAGGTTTTCTGCACAACAAAGTATGAGCAGAATAGACTAAGTAGTATCAGAAGAAGAAGAAGAGTTTGATATCCCGCTTTATCACTACCCAAAGAGGCTAACAATCTCCTTCCCCCCCTCCCCCACAACAAACACTCTGTGAGGTTAGTGAGGCTGAGAGACTTCAGAGAAGTGTGACTAGCCCAAGGTCACCCAGCAGCTGCATGTGGAGGAGCGGAGACGCGAACCCGGTTCACCAGATTACATCAGGATATCGAATTTCAGTAGCAGAGTTCTTAAAGGTGCACCACGATTCCAAATCCATCCAAGCAACAGTTTTTGAGAGAAGGGGCTAGGAATGAAACCTGTTCTTATTGTAGAGCATGGGAGCTGCCTTATACCAGATTATTGGTCCCTCTGGTTCAGGATTGTCTTCTTTGACTGGCAGTGGCTCTCCAGGGACTCTGGAAGAGATCTTCCCCACCACCAGCTACTTGATCCTCTGTGCTGGAGATGCCAAAGTTTGAACCCGGGGCTTTCAGCATTCCATGCCTGTGCTCTACCACTGAGCTATGGCTCCAACCTAGAAAAGGCTAGTTACTGTTTATCACAGTGGCTAGAGAGCAATGGGTTATACTATTTTGCTCCACACTCAATCCTGGTGAAAACAATAGGCTGCATTCTACTCCTGATCTGAGATCAGTTTTCTGATTTCCATTTCTCATTTTTCAAGCCTTAAGTTCATTTTACCCCACTTCAACAACAATTTACAATTTTGTTTAAAAGCCTGCATGAAAATATGTACATATTTTGGTGCTAACTTCCAATATATGTTTCTCTGCATGTCTACTTGCAAGCAATTTCCCCTAATATAATGAATTTCTGTACATTATGTTCACTAACATACAATATATTGCACCAACTTCCCCCAATATGTGCACTTTTGGTTGGATGACTGCATCAAAAAGTGCCGTTTTTGAAGGACAGCTGCATTTTGCTTCACATCTTGGTTTGGGAAATGCAGATTAGATAGGTTCACCTTACAGTGCTAACTGAACAAATTTATCTTCTGTCCCTTTTCAGTGTGCAACCTGCCTCAGTACTCTAAACAAAGAGTTATTTAAACTGGATTTATATTTGTTTATTCGTCTTCTCAAAACCTATTTTGCAAAACTATTTTGGAGCTTGACAGTGCTTAATTCTGAGATAGTTAATATGGCAAAGTAACAACTCAATATAATTCTTTGTGTGATTCCTGCATGTCAGCAGTGAATCAAGCATCATACTCTGATCAGTAACCTGAATGCAGGGGAAATTACCGTATCTTGTGATTGTGGGATATATCTAGCCTCATATTACCAACATGCTTAACTCTAATTAATGCACGATGAGTTAAAACAATAGCGTAAGCTGTCCTGGCAGACTTGGCTAGGTCACACACCCATACCTTGGGAGGAAGGGTTACTAAACTCTCCATTCTCTTTTTCTACCTAGTGAATTCTACCAGCAAGGAGGTGTAAACTGGATGCTTTAAGCTCATACTGCGTGGCTTAAGCAAGCCATCTTTGTGTTTCTATACAAATAATTTAGAAACTATTACCACTTTGAAACTCAGTTAAACTGCCTGTCTTTTCTTGCCACTGTATGGAAAAACATATGAATCTGACCTTTGAAAAGGTTGTAAGTAAACTATTTTTAGCTTACCAAACATGTGGTCTCTTTCTATGCTGAGGGAAGTGGGGAACTTTGGAAGCAACCTAGAAGCAGATATTTTAAAAGCTTAACAGTCTGTATTTCCACCCTCTACTTTGCTGCATGTTTTGTGATTTTAAATCTTTGGTGTGGCTCTCCCACCTGAGGGCATTTGCTCCAAATTTGGATCTAGGCATGCAGGGAATTCTCCTTTTATTTTACCGAATGTTTATTTCCTTTTAATCAAAATATAAAAATACTAAAACCAACAATGATCATGCTGAAAACTGCAAGAAAACTGCCAAAATATCTTAGGGATGCTTCAGGGAGTGGACATGGGAAAATATTCTTAAGTGGAGGAAATTACAAAATCTTGAATGGGCATTATATTTTATAATTTCTATCCAGTCAATTACAATTTACCTATGAAGTAGGTGAGATACCTTTCCAAATACTACCCAGGGAGTTTTATGGCTGAGCAGGCATATGACCTTCATCTCCTTCATACTGCACAATATTCTATTCATTGCACTACAAAGAATACCCAAATAAGACACACGCAAAAACGATTTGTCCTACCTTTCATGTAATTACAAAGCAAACCGGTTTGTGTGCATCACCTCCTAAACAAGTCCTTTTAAGAAAAATGTATGTTTGTATCATAATGAAGTCTTTGAAAAAAATATATCTAAATTTGTTTAACATATAGAGTCTGTAATACAGTGAGTAAAATTCTGGGAGCCAGTCCTGGAGGATCTCACAGTGGTAACAGAAATGAAAATATTTTGACAAGATACTCACATGCAGACATCACCAATAACTGTTTCAAAGCAAACTTAAAGTCCACTAATCCTTCCATTAGCATTTATCGGCAGCTGATTTTTTCCCCCAGCAGCCTTGCTTCTCCTGCAGCAAGAAGGAATTCCGAAACTGGGATCAGATCCTAGTGCTCAAATTCCATGACAGTTTAATGCAGGACAAGCCTACATTTTCCACTTCTTAGTTTTGAAATATATAGGGTTCCCGCCCCCTCAAAGCATGTTTTATTACGCCATATGTCCCTAGCCTACAAAGCTATCTTAAGTATCTTTGAACTGTCATTCACATCTTCCTTCTCTGGGTGCTATCTGACTATAATCATACCTAGGTCCCAGCCACACTATGCATTTAAAGCAAACAGCTTCACCAAAGTATCCTGGGAACTGCAGTTTGTTAAAGGGTGCTTTGAATCGGATCTCTGTGAGGAGTAAACTACAGTTCCCAAGTTTCTTTGAGGAAAGTCGTGTGCTTAAATAGTTTGGTGTGGCTGTGAATTCAGAGTCAACCCATTGAAACTAATGGAGAGGTAACTGTAATCCACGGATTTCAATGGATTGAAGCATGGCTAATGTTGGGCTATCACTCACTATTCTTAGAACACATTAGATACGCAGGTGGCACTGTGGGTTAAACCACAGAGCCTAGGACTTGCCGATCAGAAGGTCGGCGGTTTGAATCCCTGCAATGGGGTGAGCTCCCGTTGCTCGGTCCCTGCTCCTGCCAACCTAGCAGTCCGAACGTACGTCAAAGTGCAAGTAGATAAATAGGTTCCGCTCCGGCGGGAAGGTAAACGGCGTTTCCGTGCGCTGCCCTGGTTCGCCAGAAGTGGCTTAGTCATGCTGGCCACATGACCCGGAAGCTGTACGCCGGCTCCCTTGGCCAATAAAGCGAGATGAGCGCCGCAACCCCAGAGTCGGCCATGACTGGACCTAATGGTCAGAGGTCCCTTTACCTTTTTATACCCTATATATATGTGACACATGAGACCCACACAAATGCACAGTGAGAACCTGCTGTAGCCACCACAAAGCCCTCGGCAGAATGGCAGCACCATTTATTCTCAGTCTACGGTTTCCACTCTCTTCCTTTAATCCCGAAATGTCTGTATTTCCTCTAACTCTCTTTCCTCAAAAAAAACACCAACCCTGAATAATAAACCACACTGGAAAGCAGTGATGTTGCTAAGGCTTAGCATTTGGGGTGGCAGATGGGGTGATAAGCACAACGTTTGTGGGGGTGGAGGGTAATGGTCCCTATCACTCTGTACCCACTAAGTGTATTTTTAGCATTAAAATAATCATGCAGCAATTGGGTGGAAATGAGAGCCGTGTTTTATTATCTGGAAATTACACCCTTCGTGGAAATAACAATATTGAGAAACTGATCATATGCAAAATTAAGACTAGAGCTCAGTTATGATGGCGGCGTTATATTTTCAATGGGAGTAGCCCTCCTGCTATACAGAGTGCATCTGTTTGGCAAAGGTTGAAAGTTAAGTATGGGGTATTAGGTGTGGAGGCAGTGAAAATAATGCCTATGGGGATATGGCAGAGGTAGAGCAAAATGGGAGGTGGTTGTGCTTTTGGATCACTCTGTCATCATACTGTGTGTCCAAAGTCTCTCTGTGTGAGTTTCATGCGCTTCATACTCCAGCTGATAAACCGGTATGAAACACAACTGGACGTTGCCCCTTCATAAATACAGCTTCTATACTCAGTAGCATTTTGAATCAAGTCAGATACCTAGAACAGCAGAAGATTCCAGACAGAGCCCAGTCCAAGTCACAGAGCAACAGAACACACAAGGTGAATCCTTTCTTTGCTAAATTATCAACTATTTGCTAAAATAGTTTGCTAAAATATATAAAATAATTTGCTAAAATATCAACTATTCCTCCCCCCCAACTCTTTTGCTGTGTGTACCTTTTGTACCTACCTGTGATTACATTGCCTCTTCATTATATCTGACCTATGATAGCTGAACATTCCTGCAGAGCTTGTTCTAAAATATTTTCAACAGAGAGAGAGAGAGAATAGGATTCAGCGTTTGGTATTATACTGCTGTCCAGTGTGATTGCTTTGCCGTTCAGAACACAATAAATTTAAGTAATTAAACGTGGTAGACCTTTGAATCAAAAAGGCAAAGCATACATGAAGAATATTAATTATAATAAAATAAAATAATAGCCAAGTCCCTCTAGACTCCTCAGTAACATATTCTCCTTGATCTGGAATTAGAGTCTCTTCAATTCATTCCTATGCAGAATTAGGCGTGCAAAATCAATTGATTTCAAAGGGTTAGGCACACTTAAACTGGCATTGGATTGGGCTGCTTTTTAAGTTCTTTATTTGAGAGCTCTTTTCATAGGGTGCCAAGAAGCTAACAAATTTATATTGTTTGTACCTTACTCCTCTTTTAATTCAGCATAATATGGTGTGTGCTTCTGTAGGTCGGTCGGAAAGCTCTTCTCCCTTCTTAACATGATTATATTGTGCCTAACATTTCGAGAAGGAAATATTTCTTTGTGCCTTACACCACACATTATGCGCAGAGCACAATGTGCAAAACTGCTAATAATCACATATAATCATTACTTCTGAATCTTGATTCCCAATCTTTTTCTTTGACGTCGGTGGCTATTGTCCACATTAAAACCGAGACACCCTTATAGGTAAAAATAAAATCCTTGTTTTAATAAGGGATGGACAAAAATCTGGACGAAAGGGACGAAAGGGATGGACGAAAATGCAAGCACACAAATACACACACAAATATAGAAGCAGATTTGTTTTGACAGCCTATTATGCCACAAAAATCATTATGAGAGTAAGCTACAGCTCAGCGCATCAGCTTAGAGACTGTAAATCCCCGGACCATAGTTAAATACATTTGCAGTAAGCCGTGAAAAGCTGAACAAAACCCAGTTGGTTCTTAGCAGCTCAACACAGCAATTTACTTTTGAAAGAAAAAAGGGGGGGGAGAAAACCACCCCTAAAACAACATTTTAAACTTTTTGCAAAACAGAAATTTTCTTTGCATATACTGTTAAGTGACCACACTTTTATTTTGCAATGAGAGACCAGATCTGGCACTACATATTTTGGCAGCTCCTCATATGAAACTGAACAAACAGTTTCTTAAGTGATGCTTGGAAGACAAATCTGGAAAAGATTCAGATCTATTTAAATGGATGCATACTTGCTGTCATTTTGGGAATTGTTAAATATGATATTTTATTTCTGTGATCATTCTGAGGGTGGAAAACGTAAAGAAATCAATGAAAAATGCATACAGTAGATCAAGATAGCCAAGGCTGTTATAGTTCATTTATTGTTTCATTTAAATAATACATGATTTTTCCATTTTAAATGCTCAAGGTGGCTTGTATACGCCATGAAACAAATAAGTAGGTTCCTGTGTTCCTCACTGAGTTCACCTGAGCAACTGTGTTATGTAGCAGTTAGTCACCAAGCCTGATGCAATTCCCTTGCGTACATACTAAGACTTTTCATCCAAAAGTCTCATCCATACAACTTCTCTTTAGATGACACCTTGACCCAAGGCTGGTCTCTGGACAGCTTCATTTGGACAAATATCATAGTACAGTGTTATCAAGAAGTGGAAATGAATGTCCATATCCATGTCAACATAGTATCCAATGTGAACAAATGCATGAGCACATTGGCTCCCATCACTGATGGGATCCGACTTAAGGATAGCTCTGGATGTGCAATGCTGTTTCCATACATAAAAAGGATCACTGGATCCAGATGACAACGTTATAATGGAAATACCCTAGGAGACAGCCTGTGTGGCCCTCCCATCCTGCATGGACTCCCACCAGTCCCAGCCATGTCAGGGATGATGGGCATTGCAGTCCCACAACATCTAGAGGGCTGAAAGTCCCCTGTCCCAGCCTTTAGCATGTTTAAACAGGGGGAAGTCCCACTGAATTCAATCCTATTAATTTTCTGCTAAGCGAGCTTGAGATTGCAGCTGTAATGTTACGGCGGGTCCTGCAGCCTCATTTGTTCTGTTGCTGTCACTGATGGAGTTGCCCAGTGGTTGCCTACAGCAGCCTTCCTGAAACTGGTTGCTCTCCATACGTTTTAGACTACATCTAATTTGCTGACCAGCCTGGCCAATGGCCAGCAAAGATGGGAACTGTAGTCCCAAACATCTGGAAGGTGGCAGGTTGAGAAATGCTGGCCTGCAGCTTCCACGCTCACCAAAAGGATTCATTCACTTTCAGGAATGCTTTCTTAGAAACTCTTGCTGGAGCACCATCCATCACAATATGTGGATGACAACCCCATCACCACTTTCTGCTGAGCAAGTACCTTCAAGTGACATAAAACACCATCAGACCGAGGGGTCATTCTACGTTCCTTTTGTTCTTTGTAGCCTTCATTTCGTCCCAGCGTCATGTATAAAATGTCTCCGCAATGGCACCTTTCTTGACCATTCCATCCACTTCAGGTGAGAAGCTTCTTCATCAGAAAGTGGGAACGAAGGAAAGATGGAAAATTTCCATTGTCTCCTAAAATGTGTTGTCTATTGGCAAAGCCAACACAAAAGAAAGACGAATTCGCTCTGTAATGCAGCAACAGCTTCTAATTCAGCATGAGGTCTTCCTAGACAAGGAGGTTTCATTGTGCTGGCATTTGGTCATGCTAGCCAAGGCAGCCAACTGGCTCTGGCTTCAGTATTTTGACACATCGTATGAAATTTATCTTTACAATAGATTCCGCATTTTCAGTGGTGTAAAAAAAAAAAAAAAAGCGGGGGGGGGGAGGAAGGAGCCTTTGGCATTTCAAAAAAAGAAGTTTTTTAAAAATAATAATAATAAAAATCTTGTTCTCCTGGCTGAAAGAAAATCTTGGCATCATGACTACAGTTTGTGTCCCAAAGGCCCAGCAACAAGCCGGCAAATTAAAGCATCTCCAAAATCGTGGGGGTTTTTTTAATAAAAAAAACCCCTCAGTATTTTAAACCAGTGTTATGCATTTGGAGATGTGATTTTTCAGTATCTGGGACCTAGGAAGCTGCCTTGCATTGAGACCATTCATCCTCCCATCTCAGTATCCTCTATCCTGACCGGCAAAAATCTTTTCTGGCCCTACCTAGAAACTTGGAATCTTTTTATGCACGATAGATCCTCTCCCATCCTTAAGCTATGGTCCTTTGTCCAAACGACCTTGCAAGATAATCAAAAGCTTAGGATGAACAGCAGGTTGAAAGCTATGCAGGTTTGTGGCAACCACCACATCTTAATGACAACAAATTTCATAGTTAAAACTATGATGGCCAATGTGATACCTGCAGGTGCATATGAACCTACAGAGACCTTCCCTGGTACACACTGGCCCCTCTAGGGAAGCCACAATTCACCTTAATATTGGCAAGTCCACTGCAGTCTCTGTCCCAAGTTACAGCTAACTTTCCAGCACTGACCTGGAGTAGACCTGTTCCCATAAATAGGGACCGTGTTGTTTCCTTTATGTGAGTTCCCACACTGTGCTAGGGGAGGGAGTCAGAGAAAAGAATTCCTTGCTCTTCTCCCCTTTTCCCTGTTCACTGCTGGTGTCTTCTGCTCCTTCAAAGTATTGTTGTTTTATTTTTCAGGTTCCACTCCTTTTATGGATGCTGGTATATGTGTAAATCCTCTTGTGCTCAGGTCCTACCTGCCAGCTTTCCATAGGCATCTGGTTGGAGAGAACTGAGTGAAGGTTTTTAATGGATAGTTAAGCAGCCATTTAAGGTTCGGCAGGGTGTTCTCTGGCATTTTAACTTTACAAAATCATAATGTTGCAAACTGAACTAACCAAACCAAGGTCATTAAGATTTGCACACAAAAATGGGAAAAATAAATAATTGGCCAACATTCTCTGATTTGTAAATTGGAATGCAGATATCTGGATATGAATTCGCATGGTGAGAGTGAAATGTTTAGCTCAAAAATTATCATGCGCTTTAGACATGTTTTGATTGTGATAGGTGTAGAATCTCTCAGCTGTTTATCATCATCATCATCATCATTATCATCATTATTACCATTATACAAAACGGATATGCCATTGATCGTAAAAATGAAGAAGCTCAAAGTGGCTTACAAATACTAAATGCCCTTATTATCTTTTTACCTTTTTAATTCATAAAAGTGTTTCTATACCACCGTATACAGACTATAAAATGTTATTTAAAATTAAAATAAATAAATAATATAGATAGGCAGGTGACTGACAAATCAAAAATTAAACAACTACATAGGTTTGCACCAAAAAGTCTCCAAGAGATGTCTGAAAGTAAATAATAATAATAATAATAATAATAATGTATACCACCCTATACCTGCAGGTCTCAGGCCTGTTCCCAAGATAAAATCACAATATAAAAATACAAAATATATAATAAAAATAAAACGAGAACAACTAAATAAACGAGAGTGCCTGCCAAAGCTCTGCTGGAAGAGTGTTCCGGGGCATGGACCAATGCTCGACCTCTTGAGGCCAGGCAGCCAGAATTCTGTAGCGTGGGGGGCCTACTAATAGTGTTCCTCCAGGTCAAGCTGTCCTTAAGGCATCCTCTGCATGCTCTCCATCAAAAACTTGTTATACTGCAATCTTTTATATGTCTCGTTAGGAGAAAACCCGATTGAATTCAATGGGAGGGAAAGATGCATCTAGCCATGTCCATTTTGTTTCTCATTTTTCCAATATTAACTTCCACCCTCCAGATTTCAACATCAGTTTGTGATTATTTTTTTTTAAGTCCTTGTGGAAATTCACCAGCATTTCAGTGCTAATTTCTCCTAATATTCACACCTTTGCATGCAATTTTTCCAAATGCGCCCATTTTTGCAAAGATATTTCCCGGTCTGCATCTGTATTGGAAGTGTTTTGTGTTTTGGCTGCCCCCGGGCCCCTTCAGAAGGAAGGGCAGGATATAAATTTAAAAGATGGTGATGATGATACATGTCACTAATGTGCATCTTATGCACACTTGGCCCCTGTATATGCATTTTTATGCACACTGCTGTACTTGCCTGGAGAATTGCACAGTGAAATTCAGAGACATGCACATTTTGAAGGGAGGCTGTCTTTCCATGTGTGTATTGTTTCAGAAGTGCAAATTAGGTGGGTTCGCATTTAAATGCAAATTGAATTGACTTTCTCTTCCCTCCCTACTCCCAAGCAACTATGTTCAGGAGGGACAGCTAACCAACAGCCCATGGACCAGATCTGCCCAAAGGTTTTTGCACAGCCAACCCCAAGAATTTGCCATTTTTTTATTTAAAAATAATTATTTTACTGGGTGGGGGGAGACTGTTCTTCTGAGGTGTCCCAGGCCACAGTGAGACTCCACAGCAAATTCTCCGCTGGCCCAAGTAGGACTGATTCAACCAGTTAGCCCTGGCGACTATCTAATGCTTATTAGTTGGTTTCGCCCCAAATTGATTTCTGAACTTTATTGTTATTTCATGTTTTTATACTGTATTTTATGCTGCTTCTACAATTAAGTGTTTTAAATTTGTTGTTAGCCGCCCTGAGCCCGATTTTCTGAACCGGGAAGGGCGGGTTATAAATAAAAATTTATTATTATTATTATTACTGCTATCATTCTGTAAAGGTCCCACAAGCCTTCCAAAAATTGGTCCATCGTCCCCCCCTTGACTCACCTTGCCACAGCATCTCTTCTCTCCCTGGTGCTGCAACACTGCAAGAAGATCTTGGGGCTCAGGAGACAGGAAGGAGAGCCCCACGGAGGATTGCAGTCTTGGACGCCAAACAAAATCCTGCTGCACGCTAGTTTTCAAATACAGTCGGACCTTAACTTTCAAGCCTGTACAAAATAACATGAGATGTTGCTGATCAAATACCAGATATCTTTCTTCATGCAAGCTCTCTCAACATTGCAGAGACAGGCACTCTCCCTCCACCAAGCCTCCCTGGTTTTTGATTTTAGGATGTTAAAAGATTTCCTTTTTTAGGCAATTCAGTGGAAACAGCAACAAGGCAGTACAAAAAGGAAGCAGGCTGTCTTCAAAAGGTCTATCGGTTTTTTAAACTTGGATACTGAGCACACAAAATGGGCAACATGTTGAATATGCAGAGAATATCTGAGGAACATTTCTCATCCGAATTCGCAAAGGAGAATTCTGAGGAGAATCTTCCAGAAGCAAATTCTGCTCTCATGAACAAGGCAACTTCTGGTTTACTTAGGCAAACTGGGGTCGGGGGAACCCAGTCCTTATTGTTTCAAAAACAAACACAGGAGTACTTTTAAAAGGGGACTGATCCACACCCTATATTTAAAGCACATCCAATGCACATTTAGAGCACATAGCTTCACCTAAAGAATCCTGTGAACTGTAGTTGCCCCTTGCAGCGCTACAATTTCCAGTGTCCTGAACAAAGCACAGTTCCCAGAATTCTTTGGGAGACATAATGTGCTTTAAATGTATGGTGTATGCACTCTAAATTTACAGTGTGGCTCTTCCCTAAAAGTATCTCTACCTACCGGTAAGTCTTGGTGGCCAAAAGCCTTGTGTAGATGACACATCTCAACTGTCAACTATGAGGAATGGTGGGGCTTTCTTCCCCCGGCCTTTTTAATAAGAACTGTTACTTTTTATGAAGGATGGAGACATCCATAAAAAAGACAACAGCACTTTGCAAAACAGTTCATTTAGGAAACAATCACATGACCTTTTTCCTTGACTTTAAGCTAGCAATAAAACTGGCTGAGCCAACCAGCCCTAATGAGGGAGAGAAAGAGAAAACATCGGCTCCTTCACTTTCCCTCCATCTAATTATAAATATCATTGTCAACTGACTCCAGGATCAGCTGAATCCTAATTGACCTCCAACACTGTACAGTGAAAAGATAGTCAGAACTGCCAAACTCAATATAAGGAAGATAAATAAACTGTAATTAGTGACTTAACTCCTAGCTCCCCAATTTGTGTTTCTCAAGTGTGGCTTGCAATTGCAACATCTTGCTTAAAAGTTTATTTTTTCAGGCAGATCTTATAAATTAGTCCCTTCTGACTTTATAAAGTGAGCAGCTAGCCACACATCATCATCTTCTGAGATATGAAATAATGACAAATATTAGGCAGGCAATTCCAAGAGAGGAGATCCTAAAAGAAACAGTTTGGTTGGTGGTGGTGGTGGTGATTACATTATATTGCCACACAGAAAAAGATATCCAAGTGACTTACAAAATGTATAAGTTCATAAAGCATAAATAAGAGCATGAGTAAAGTAGCATCACTTTACATATTCTGATTCTGATTATCTTGAGGGGTTTTTTGGTCAGATATGGAATCTAGACATATGCACATAAGGTTTTATATACAATTTTTGTATATGTAGAGTTTTGTTTTGATTTTAAAATGCGGAAAGAAATACGTATATCTCTGTGTGTAAATTGGATAGTTATTGCGGAGCCCAGTCCTTGGCATGTTTACTGAAAAGTAAGCCAAATTGAGCTCAATTGGGATCATTGTATTATTCTTCTCAAAATATTCTCAACCCCAAATACTAACCCCTTGCAGGCATCTGGCCTGGTTAGACCTCTAAGCTCTTTCCCCTTTACACTTTTTAAAAGACACTTGAGTTCTGGTGGAGAGCAGAATTACTCCATCAAAATATTTCAGGGAGGAATCAAGTAGTTACACAAGAACAGAAGTGGCCAGTATGTTACCCTCCCAGATGGACTACAATGCCTAGCATCCCTGACCACTGGCCATGTTGGCTGGGGCTAATGAGAGTTGAACTCCAGCAACATCTGCAGAGTCCCCAGTGTTGGCTGACACCTGCACTAGGTCTTTTTATTTCATAATGCGGATAGGGGAATCTGAAGACTGAATCCTTCCCCTAGTGAAAAACTCCCAGGTCCAGCACTTCTCAAGTGGACACCATTGTCAGTCTAAGAGAACAAGGGAGAAGTTCGTGGTGAGCTCCAGCACCTCTTTTTCTAGAAGAATAGCACTGACTATATGTCTCTTATTACTGTCTTCATACCACGCCTTTCGCTGCTGCACATTATTGGCTGGCTGGCTGCCATTGGCAGGGATGGGTAGCACAGGGGAAACAAAGGAAGGTCACTGTCAAGCTGTCAATATTTTGTAGGACAGAGTCAAGTGTGTACTGGAAATGTAGGTTTGTGCAGTTAATGTGTATGAAAGCAGTCCATTTTCCCTAGCTCAATGAAACCACTTTGGGGCGGGGGACACACACTAGATTTTTTGCAGCTTGGAACTTGTCTAGAAACTGCACTGAAAAGTGTGGGGTGAACAAAGGATTGAAGGGAAGGCATATAATTACTGCAGGAGCATGTCAGAATGCCTGCTCGTTGTCATACAACAGCGTCACAAACAAATCAGAACAAATGCTCAATAAAGACTGGTTGTAGTCTAACCTTTGCATAAGCTCTGAGCAAGCAACTCAGAGTAAATGCTCAGTAGACCAGTTGTACAGAGGAGCCCTAAGAATGCCTAAATATTACAGGAAGAGGAGGCAGATGGGGGTGTTGTTGTTTTTGCAGAAGCTCTACGTCTACCATGTCTAATCCTGGCCTCCAGAAGAAGGGATCTAAACCTAGTCTCTTCATGAAATGCTCATATTCTACCTGCAAAGAATTCCTGTCAAAGGAACTTTGCATCCTCACATTTGAATTTGTATGAAACAGTTTGGTTCCAAGATGCCATTCCACTTTATTTTTCTGAACACATAATTTGGCCGTTAGGCACAAGTAGTAAGACTTAGGAAAGCTTGAGAGGGACTCTTATATTGTAATCGTATAACGTCTGCCCAGATGTAAGTCCTGTGGAGTTCAGTGGGGCTAGGGCCCAGGTAATTTGGTATATAGTCACCTGGAAGTAAATCTTGTTTGAACACAACTCTGTAAGCATGTACAGGATTGTGCCGAAAAATCCTTGCTTCTCAATGCTCCTCGTAATGTGAAAATGCATATCTGAAGTGTGTGTTTCTGGTATTTGCTGTTAGTACATTTAAAGGTGTCATACCACCCAAAAGTGAAAATGGAAATTGCATGGAAGGATGCCCTATAGGGCAGGATTCACTTGACAGCCACACCAGCAGAAGTCCTACACAAGGACTTCCACTTGCACAACAGGGCTTCCTCCCTTCTCTTTGACCCCCTGTGCCCCAATACTGGCTCTGGGGGAATTGGGAGGACCCCCCAGAACAGTGGACAGGGGAGAAGGGGAAGAGGAGTATTCCATCTGGCAAGCTGGAATCCTTGTGCAGGCGGAATGATTGGAAGAACGCAACATTGAGCTTTACCCATTGATTTTGGTATGGTGTGTGCATGTTGCAAGCCACTTTCAACAGCCTGAGCTACTATGCAAATATTTATATAGAACCCATAAGCACTGATCTGACAGATTAACAGACGTCTACTTATAAAAGTATTTATATACTGCCTTCTCACCAAATATCAGGGTGGTGTACAGCAACACGAAAACAGGCACATTATATAGATATATATCTAAAAGAAAGTCAAAAAGCGAAAAATCATTAATCACTGGTACTATAGGGTTGAAAGAGGAAATCACCCCAGTGACAGGCTAAATGACATTAGACTCTATGTGACATGGTTGTAACATATCTGGGAACACTAGTAAACACACCAAGGCAAAATCTGAAAATTAGAGAGAGGGAAATAACATGTCTCTAGAATATAATCAGTTCAGAAGATCGCAGCTTTCTCATAGAAACAAAGTCACACATTTTAACCATACTGCCTTTTTTAAAAGAAAAGGGAAGACAGGCAGGCAGGCGGAAATAGAAGGGCTGGCTTGCTTTGTTCTGCAAAGACACTGGTTTCTGACATTAATTTTGATTTGTGCCGCAGGGAATTTGCTCCCAGTTTTTATACACTTTGCAAAAGCACCCCTCTTCCCCTTTGCTGGACCATTAATTCCAAAGGGAAAAGCCACCATCTCCTTTTCTTTCTAGCTCAAAATCTTTCTCAGCCCTTCCTTGCCTTGCGTTGTGACAATGTCTTCTTGGGCAGAAATGGATATGCGGAAACGGAACGTAGCACCCGAATACTCGAAAAATACGGCAGAAACAGAATTTGCTATTGTTTGCCGTGCCATTGTTCTGTTGGGTGTGTAAATCCACTGGTGGAGTCAAGTCCATCCATTAAACACACACACACACACACACACACACATTTTTAATCTCTAAGCAAGATGTTTTTTTCCACTAAGGTTACTTTGTAAAGAGGTGATTTGGTTCTTCACAATCAGGAAAAGAAAGCAGAATAGAAGCCTCGACAGCTCAAAAGAAAATCATTCCGGGCATGTGAGGTTTCTCCTTCCTTCTCTCCCCCCCCCTCCTTTCTTTTTCTTTCTTTCTTTCCATTTTTTTTTTTTTTTTTTTGCTGTAAGACACTGTGATGTTTTAAGCGTATACCTAGTGCTTTCTTACACATGCTGAGTAACCAGGCTAATTAAAAAGCCCATACAGCTCTCGTTAAAATCTGTTCAAATTTTTGGAGCACCTGTTATAACAGAATGCCCACAGACATGATAGTTTGGAGCCAAGGCACCTGCTACCTTATGTCTCGCAGTATGTTCGGTTTTAGACTGATAGCTGGGAGGGGGGGACCCACTTTTTGACATTTAACAATCTCTTAAGACGATAAGAAATTAATCAGAAAAACTTGGGGGATTTAACCCTTCCGTGATCGCTTCTTTTTATTGCACCTTTCTTCCCTGATTTGTGTCCCCACCCCGAGAGCAGGAAACATAGACAGTGGATAGTGCAGAAGGTAGTTACATTTCAATTGAAACATCCATGCCTGTGCTATTT